CTCACAGTGTATGGCAGCTTTATCAATTGTGCCTCAGTTAAAGCTGAAAACAATAAAATACAAATGAAGAGAAATCACTGGCACAGGGAAAAAAAAGGGAAAATCCATAATAATCCATAATCTTTTCTTATAAAAAGACAAATGTTTCACGTGTATGTAAGAGGTATTCACAGAAAGGTAATGGGCTTAGTTGTGCATAGAAAAGAACTTTCTAGTGTTCCAATGTGGAGTGTTCTCTAACAGTAATTCCCCTAGTGATACTTAAAGCATTACCTAAAGAGCCTTGAGGCATAGTGTAAGGAATAATAAACATGCACGCGTGGTAACAAATGTTTTAGTCCTTTTTAAATTTTTGAATAGGATTTGCAAATTTTCTAATGTATTTTATCAAAAGCAGGAAAATATTCTATGAAGATGGCCCTAGGGGCACTTGGGTGGCTCAGTGGGTTAAGCAACTGCATTAGGCTCAGGTCATGATCCTGGAGTCTCAGGAATAAGTCCCGCATCGGTATCCCTGCTCAGTGGGGAGCCTGCTTCTCCCTCTCCCTCTGCTTGTGTGTGTGTGCGTGCGCATGCTCTCTGTCTCTCGCAAATGAAAAAAAACCGAAATCTCAAAAAAAAAAAAAAAAAAAAAAGGATGGTCTAAAGTCAGTTAGCTCATAGCATTGCGGATAGACATTGGAACTTCTCATCTCATGGTACAGGATAACATACCCATTCAACTGTTTGGGAAGACTTCTGCACAAAGCCATGGGCAATTAATTGGATCCCATGTTTTTAGAGATGCCTGATGATCCTGTCATGTCGTTTATTTAGTTTTTAGAAACTGTCCTCAGTGGGACTTGGTATTATTAGAAAATTCTATCAAACATCAAAGAGATACTTGAGCTTAATTCTCACACTGCGATCTGACTTCAAAAATAGCTGCTGTTAATAACAATATGGGAAAACGAGACTCAGCTCCTCCCAGCTCTGTGGTCTCGGCATGTTTGTGGGCACCGTCAGACTCACCTCTCTAAGTGCTGTGGTTTCAGGAAGGGGCGTGCATAGAGGGTATAGGGCTTGGCAGAGAAAAGCTGAGCAAAGCCAACGAGAAAATAGAAGCTTAAAAAAAAAATGCTAGGGTTTCTGTGAGAGATAATACAAACCAGAGGGAAGCATTTAGGAGAGATTACTGTGGCCACTAGGGGGACATTTCTGAGGGTCTGCTCGGTTTGAGGTCTCGGTGGGACCGAGGTCAAAGTGGGAGGATGTTCAGGAGAAATGAAACCATGACATCACATCAGGCTATGAAAGGGGCCATGCAGGGTGTTTTCGTGATGATTCGTCAGCTGTGCTCAGGCCCCAAGCGTGATGTCTCTTGACATTCCCTCCCTCAAGGCTGAATCTGGTGCCCCTGGGATGAGCTCACCTCTTTCCCTGGACTTGACCTGTGGTAGCTGTACCACCACTGTGGTCGCTGCTCTGCAAATGTTCGTGTTCTGTGGGGATAGGGAGCAAAACTGGATCTTGTGTATAACCCATGCTTGCCAGACGCCTAGTAGTTTTTAGTAGGTATTTGTTGATAAAATGAATGAATGATTGGACGATTGCTTATGTGTAGGATCCAGGTGACATAGTAAAGAGCTTTCCCTACTGATCCATGGTTAACTTTATGAATTAGAGATCTTCTGCCTCTTAGATGACTTCATAATTATAACCTTCAAAATGGGCAAAATATTGGGGCACCCGGGTGGCTCATTTGGTGAAGCATCTGACTCTTGATTTCCGCCCAGGTCATGATCACGGGGCCGTGAGATTGAGCCCTGTGTCCAGCTCCACGCTGGGCAATGGAGCTTGCTTAAGATTCTCTGTCTCCCTCTCCCCTCTGCAGTGTGCACCCCCCCACCCCCGCCCAAAGGCAAAATATTAAAATATATTTCTGATGACGTAAAACTTGAAAACACCACTCATTAAATTACTGCTGTAAAATACAGAGGGTGTGTGTTTCGAAAACAAAATTGCGACCTGGTTAGGATTCAGAGAGAACTCATACCGACCACGCGTGCCTTTTAAAAAATATAATTAAATGGAAGCTTCATGAGTCATCACTTGAATTGGATGTAAATCATGTCTAATCTGCTTATTAACATGCCCCTCACCTCCGTGCCTGAATAGCAGAGAAGTCCTTCCAAAAGGTATTCTTAAACACGTTTTATGTTTGTTAGCCTGCTGCGGTCTGATTCTCGTGTGATTTCACCTTTTTAAATTCAAGTAAGACTTTTTGATAAAAACACGACTCTTAAAAACACAGAAGAAGCCACACAATGCTTTTCAGGGGGTAGCAAAGGATAATTCACATGTTAGATCCTTACATGAACTTCTTGGGTAGCCTATGAGGTGGTAAACAGAAATTTGGAATGAGGACAAGGAAAGCGAGGGGGACTCCCAGAGAGGACAGTTGTCAGGTCCCTTTGGATCTCCCCTGTCCTTCAGGGATTCTGTTAGGGTTTCCCATTCTCCTTCCTGTTCTTACTTTGTTTTGAAGAGGTGGCAATGGGAAGGTTTCCCCCCTCACTTCAGCTTGTTCTCCTGTGGACTCGTGAGCTTGTTTGCCCACAATCCTTTTTGAAAACTGAGGAATTTGTGCTGGGCCTACACCTGTTCCCTTAGGTGGTGATGCTGGAGGGAGACTGAGGGAGGTCAGCCCCCGAGAAAGTGCTGGCTCGGTGGGGCGGTGGCCACGAGCCCCAGCAGCTTCTTGGTTGGAGAGGAATTTTCCCCTTCTTCTGCCTTTGGAATTGAATTCCCTCTCTCATTCTTCTTGTCCCATATGTCAGTGATGTTTCTTCAAAATCTGTGATAGGTCAACAGAATGGATTTCTGCACTGCTAGTTTAATATCTCTCCAAGTGTGCCCAGCTTCGCACCAGAGAGACGTCCTTATCTTGAAGTTGGATAAGGCCCTTCGCAAAGCATCAGCCACGCAGCCCCCTTCCCTGACCCACTCCCACCTCATCTCACCCAGCGAGGGTGAGTCTGGACTCAGGGGCGCACACTCCCACGCCCACCCTTCCAGATTCTAATGTCTTCACTCAGGCGCTTCCATAGGTCTAGATGATGCTACTGCCATTTGAGCCTTACTGGGCTGCTAAGTCTCTACAAAATACTACTTCCTCTTTTAGCTCCTGTCTTTGCCCAGTCATAATTTCTTCTCTCTCTCTCTCTCTCTCTCTTTTTTTTAAATTCTGCATTGCCATATTCCTGTGAAACCTCTATCATGGCCCTCCTTCACATCATTGTGTAGATTTTTTAAAAATGTCTCCCGCATGCACATTGCCCCCATCAGGCCCCTGAGCTATACAGACTGGTATGAATAGACCATCAGATCAAAATACTCTAGCTTTAAACACATTACTGCTAAATGTGGGGGGTGTGCGTGTGTGCGCACGCGCACACGCTCCAGCTAGCTTTACAAATATGAAAATGTGTTAACAAGAGGTTACTCAATCATGTAGAAAAACTATAAACATCAACTGTCTGGGGAATTAAAAAAAAAATCTTCCTTTTTTGTAAAACTTGATCAACTAACCCTAATCCTATCCTCCCAGTTATGAACCAATGCTAGAAGATAGTATGAAGAACTACAGAAAGACAGGACTAATGTTATACCCGCAGAGTCGATACTGCAATTTGCATTTGCTTGGCTTCATTGAAGATCATTACCTTTGTATCTAAGTTTGTTTTTGAGATTGATTTGGAATTACCTTTCAGTATTCAGTGAATTTGAAAAATTCCCTTAGCTGAGATTTTATGGCTTAAGTGATTAGATTTCTCTGTCCATTGGTGCCCTAGGACGCCGGTGCCCTAGGAAGGAGGCCTGCAGCTGCGTTTCAGTTTCTAGAGCCCTGTTCCTGAGGCTGAGAAAACCATCAGTTGTTCATAAAGGGGAGAGGGCTGTAGGGGATGCAGGTGCTCATCCGCGTTGGGTGCATGGCCTGATGCTTTTTTTGCTCTGCTTGGGTGTAAAGCGGTGGGGCCTGAGCTACAGTGGGATGGATGGAGATGAAGGAATGGGTGGGTATCCAAGCAGACATCTGTGTGACTGGCATAAGTGGTCTACAAGATTGGAATGGCTGGAAAAGAATGAAAGAATAAAATAATACAGAGGAAACCCTGAGAATCTGAGCAGTGACCTTGGGTGGAGTGGGGAAAGTATATTTACTTACGTAAACTTTAAGACTATCTCCATTGTGGTTTATCCATAAATTCTTTCAGTCTTTATTAGTGGTCCAGTAGAGGGACAGAGCCTCCGGTAAGAGGTGGGCAATTGCCTTTTCTTTTCTCGATCTTCCCACATCTTCTCAATCCTTAAAGCACTCAGCTAGCTACTCGGAGAATGGACAAAATAAGTTTGAATTCTTGCCCCCATTGCCTTCCTTCATCTTCCAAAACACTGTCACCTCAGGTAAAATAAAATACGGAGTTCCTTCCAGAACCCACTAGAAATATATAAATTAGCCCATATTTCAGCCTGTGGAGGAAGGCTGCTTCGTCCTGGAAAAAAATTGAGGATCTGAAAAGAGCTGGCTTGCAAGGAAGGAAGGGGAAGATGGAGAATTTTTCCCACCAGTTTCCTGAGCTGGGTGGATCTCATGAATGTACTTTTCCTTACTCTGAAGGTTTTTGAGATTCCAGAGCATTAGCAAACATACATGCACTTTTTGTGTAATAAGGAGTAGTGCCCCAATATTTATTTGAATAAACAAATACATATGTTTCTGTTATCTCCTCAAGGAGTTCAGCCATGTGTTCTGCAGGGGCCATGCCTTCTGGTCTTGATTTCTGAGTGACTTTCAGACGAAAGGGGGCTGTGTTGCCTTTCCTCCTCAGCACCAGTTACCCCCTCCCCATGCGCCGGGGTCAGGCAGGACTGCTCATGCATTGCCGATCACACAGCAGGGGACACTGAGACACAGGCTTTTGCCACCCTCGTTCTGATCCAGCTTTCTGCTCTTGCAGGTGCGCACATCCTGACCGACTCAGCAGGAAGGTGGATTTTCTTTGTGTTTAAAGAAAAAAAATGTCCCCGTGTCTGTAGAGATGATTTGCAGTTCAGCCCGGCTGAAGCTGACCGAATGAGACTATGGGCTGTGCCTCTGCCAAGCATGTTGCCACTGTTCAAAATGAAGAGGAAGCCCAGAAAGGGAAGAACTACCAGAACGGAGATGTGTTTGGCGGTGAGTGCCGTTGAACTTGACCCTTGACCTGCTGACCCGGGCCTTCACCTTTTCCAGAGCGAATACTTGTAGTGTTTGGGGGTGGGGGGTGGTGCTGGTAAAGGGCTGATGAGATGTGGCTAGAAATCACGGCAGATCTTTTACGTGGGGCAGTTTCTGTAGTAATTTATACATAGAGGATTCTGAGGAGCATTATGGAGGTTTTATACGGAAACTAACATTGAAGTCAAGCTTTAAGTAACTGGATGGGTACATAGGACAGCAGCCACAGGGAGTCCTGTGCGCACAGGGAGCTCTGTACGACCGAAAACACAGTCGTCCAAAAGTGCAGTGAGTGAGGATTTGTAAACGAGAGAGTGAGGTGTTTCTTCGGGCTCCTAGTTACTCTTTATGGGACTTCTCATGTGCATTTTTTTCAGATTAAAAAATACAAATACAATGAATTTAATAATTGTCTTTTAACTGTTCTGTGATGAATCAAAGTGACTTTAGAATATCTCGTGCATCGCTTCTCGGCCTTTTGGCTAAGATCAAGTGTAGAATATCTCATGCAAAGGTCACAACCTGCCAACCCATGGCCATGTCTGGGTGGCAGATATATTTTCTTTGGCTCCCAGAGAATTACAAAATAAAAAGCAAGGCAGCGTATAATTCTCAGGATGTTTCACGTAAAACCCCAAAATTTTCTTCAGGAAACCTGTGACACCGAGTCTGTCTTCCCTGAGGCCGCAGTTAGTGGGTTGAGATAACAGTGGTCCCCTCAGTCCAGGAACTGCTGAGCCCGCCCTGGAGAGCACACCAAGCCCTGTTCACTCCTGAACGTCAATGGCCTGGCCATTTCCAGGCTTCTCAGTGTGCCTGGTGATGCGTTTGTTCCTTAGAAGATCCGCGATTGTTCTGGTGCCACATGGCTGTGGGTTAGTACAAAATTCCAGTTAGGAAGGCAGGCATAGGAGTTTGGCTGAATTACTTTGTCATAACCCACGACTGGACCCATGCACGGTACTCCTGTGTTCAGCCACTGGCAAGTCACTCTATGGCATTTCGGTCCCTCCTGATGGTTGTGCCGGTCCCTGGTGAAGAATTAGGGTACCGTGGGAAGGTTGCTGCTCTGCTAAAAGTAGGCTAGTGTATATGGGAGGAGGACTTTGTGTTGTGTCGTTTCAAGGAAATGTATGTGTTGCTTGGAACAAATTTGCTTCTGGTGGCGACTGCCTAGAAAATTCAGAACAGTGGGGAAGAGTAGCGTGGGAGCGTTTAACTAAAACTTGACTCAGATCACTGAGACCAGTTCCTGGGAAAACAGTTAATTGGATGAGCATCATTCCGTCACCCTCAAACACTTAACTATTAAGAGAACATAATCTAGTATCAAGCATTTGTTCACATTAGCTTCTACGTGATATTCTTTGTCATTTTTTTGTAACAAGAGCTACCATTAATGGAGCTGCCACCATATGTCAAACATGCCAAAGCATTTATACGCTCATTTTCATGGTGGATTTTTCACAACAATCCTGTGAAAGATGTGTCATCCCAGTTTTACATATTTGGAAGCTGAAGCACAGAGAGACTAACTGGTCCCAAGTTGCCCAGCTACGAAGCCACAGACTCAGGTCGCTCTGACTCCAGGGTCCATGTTGCTTCTCTCAGTGTCGATGCCTGGCACCCTGCTGCCTCCCATCGGTCACTCATTCTTCAGTGCAAAAGAGTATTGAGTGGCCTGTACAGGATAGGCCGAGACCTTTTGCTAAATGCCATGGGGGGTGGGGTGCAGAGGTAAATGATACGTAAACCTCCCTTTCTAGGACTTCCTAAGAGGATGAGGAAATGTTACGAGGCAAAATAAGCCATGTACCAGGAGAGGAAAAGACATACATCGTGGTAAGAGTCAAGGGGATGGAGAGACTGCCTTAAAAGGCGGGATCAGAGTAGATTTCTAGAGGTGACCTCTAAACCTGGCCTTAAAAGGACCAAAAGAATCTAAACTTGTTAAATGAAGGGTGCAGGAAGGAACTGGGTGAAGAAAGGCTAGAGGTGATGTGAGACTTACTTGAGAATTATAAATAATCCAGTTGGAATGGAATATAAAATTTAAGTGGGAGAGAATTGGCTAGAAAACTAAGGGTTAAATTATAGAGAACTTTGAATACCAAATTACAGTCTTTAGAAAGATAGACTGTAAGAGCAAAAACCATAGTCAGCATATTGCCCTTATATTCTGCCTCGCAGTGATAACACCTAACCGTCCAGTTGGTAATTCGGTTTCAGTTTTAATAGGCGAGGAGACTTTCTATTATTCTAAAGTATGATGTGTATTTGGCAAATGTTGGCGTCTAATAAAGGACTTTTCCATTAGTCACCTATCGCTGGGTATCAGACAACCTTAAGATCTCAGCGGTGTTCAACAATGAGCATGTCTTTCTTGATCACGAGTTGGTGAGTCAGCTGGAGTGGCTCTGCTCCATGTCTCTCTCATCTTCCTCCTGGGACCAGTGAGCTGTGGAAGGGGAAAGGGGGGCATGCTCTTCTTTTGCAGAAGGGTAAAAGTGCAAGTAGTACACAAGATGCCTCTTAACCTTGGGCTTACAGCTGGCCCAGTGTCACGTGCACCCACATTTTACTGGTCAACTCAAGTCACACAAATGGCTCAAAGACAAGAGTCAGAGAAACCCATCTGAACGCGGTGCATTTGTGACGAGGGTGTGGATGCAGGGAAGGGTCGAGAATCGAGGCTCACAATTCACTGCACCCCTGGCCTCCCCAGTCATTGCTGTCTGTGTGGCTCCGTTCAGTTCATGCAGTCTGAGCATTTTTTCACCTCCCAGTACTTACACGGACGTTTTATTCACTTCAGCATCCATCATCTTGTTATTCTTTCTGACATAAACATTGGTGGGTTTGTGGCATGGTGTTAGAGACAGCAGAACAAGGAGGGAGAGAGCTTCTTGAACTGGGCAAAGGAGATGGTTTTGATAGTCCCACAGGGCTCTGGGGTTAAAATTGTCAAGAGGGCAGACTGAACATCAGTGCCTTTATCCTAGTGTTACTAAATGCTAGAGTATGTATATGACACGATAAGTTCCTATCTGTGTTTTTCCACTTAAATTTTAGTTTGCAAGCAGAGCAAGTGTACAGAATCCCAGTATGATCACAGATGGTCCCAGGTGACTAGCAGATCTGGCTCACTTTTACTCACCTGATATCTTTGTCACCCATTGTTTTGTAACATGTTACCTCATGACAAAGAACTCCACTCTTAGTAGCTTGAAACAAGCACTGGTTTATCATTTATCACAATTCTGTGGGTGCCTGGGGTTCCTCTGCTGTTTTTGCCTTGGCTCAACCAGGTGGCGACACTTAGCTGGGCACTCAGTGGGGCTCACCTAACTAAGATGGCTTCAAGTCTCTCCAGCTAGAAAGTCAAGCTTTTCATGAGGTGGCTGGTAGAGGAAGTAGAGGCTGTCAGGCCGTTGAATACCTAGATTTGTAAGTCCAAGAACATCGCTTTTGCATCATTCTATTGACTAAAGCAAGTTTCAAGACCATCCCAGAGTCAAGAGATCTAGAGGTCTCCATCTATTGAGTCTAAGGAATTGTTGGCGGCCATCTTTGGATACTAGTTACCTCAGCCACTGAGAGAGGCAGTGAGAACCCCCTGACTGGATTATGTTCCAACCTGGACAGTTAGAGTCTGCTTTTTGAATCACTGCTCTGTTTTTTTACTGAATAAAGTTGCCTCATTTCACTTTTTAGAAATCATTTTTTAAATGTTTAAAAAATGTTATTACTGCTTGTTATTGAAGAGTTGACAAAGTCTGTGAAGGATGGCATATTTCGAGATGGCTCTGAAGTATGTGTCTCTGAGTGTGTGTACACACACACATTCGATCCTTTTCCTAAAGGTGTGAATTTAATTTCATAGCTTCTAAGGACATGCTGAGGAGCGTTGATAAACAGTGTGTTTTTACAAATGGTAATTTCCATTTTTATGAAGCAGTTTGGTCTCTGTGATGTTTTGGTTACCTAGAAGACCGACCACTCCAAATGTGTGTTACAGAATATGTCTAGACTATTCCACAAAAGAGGATTAACTGACCAAAGAGCATCTTGACTTTTAGATTTCATAGAATTCAGGAGGTCACTAACAAGGAACTTTATCACTGACGTTTACCTATAGACTTTCCTTCCCTTTAAATAAAAAGTTTCAGATCTAAGGTTGTGCCTCACATCCATGTGGCCTGTTGAGAAGTACAATCCAGACCAGAAAGCCCCATCTCCAGATTGGAATTTTCCTTCCCAGAGGTCAGGGCCGATGTGCCAAGGTCAGTTGGAGGACAGCTGAGCAGATTGCCAAAACCAGCTTGCCACAGAGGGGTGACCAACAGGTTCAAGTTATCATGAACTAGTTAAGCAAGTTCTAAAGGGAATCCAAGTGCTTACTGGATTCTTTTAACAGCCATTCTCTTAGACTATTAAAGTCGGTGCACGGAACAGTTTCAAGTCTTACTGGTGAAATTAACACCTCAAACCTGAGTTCATTATCTCTCCTGCTGCCCACCCCAAGAGGAGAAAGCTCTTTACTTATATTGACTTTACTGTTTGCCTGAAGGTCACCACCATTCTTCCAGGAATGTAGGCTTAAATTTGCCTTTTCCAGCTTCAGTGACTCTTGCCGCTCTCCCCAGAAGCTCTTCTCTTGCCGTTGCTACAGCCCGTCTCCCGGAATAGCGCGATATCTCCAAACTGAGCGCCATGAGCCCCCTTGGTTTTTTGTTTTCTTCTGGGATTTTTGTTGTCGTTCATTTTTAATTCTCAATTTTTTGTGCCATTGTTGGAATCTGTCAGGTTTTTCTAAGTGCTCCTCTGCCTGTGTTCATTCTCCTGCTCCAGAACTTTCTGTGGCACCTGGTTCTTAGCCAGTAAAATCTTAAATCCTTAGTGAACATGTCTTGTAAGGGCTCATAGCCACCTTGGCACCCTTGTTTCACGCTCTGTCC